GAAAGTTTCTCTGCCTAAAGGAGTAAGCTTCGGTTAATTGCAAAAAATCAACTATGCAGAAGAGCTTATTTCCCCACCCTCCCCCCAAATGTCACTCAAATGAGGTATTCCCGGTCCGCATGTCACACAGGGAGAAAGTTTAGGGGACTTAATTCTAAGAGGTGGTAGAGGATGCAAACAGACACAGACCATTATTGATTGAGATTTGGGTGAGTGCACAGATTATTCAACTATAACAAGGTATTAAAGGAATGTGGGATGAGGGGAGGGAGGGAGGGGACCTCTGTCATGATTGCTGCCACCTGGCAAGGAGTATCCACCATGCTAGCCCCCGGAATGATGCCAGAAAGTAGACAGAAGCCTGCGTGGATGTGACCCACCCTACGGAGCAACCTCTTAGCCTCTGGCTGAGCACACCGTCTCTGGGGGCTCTCGGGGCGCCCAGCTTCCTAGCCCGGCTTGCAGGGAGCTCCTTGAGTGCTCAGCGGGGCAGTGCTCCCGTCATGCCCACCCCCGATCTCTATCCACTCCTCCGTGAGGGTGGGTGCTATGGTGCATCCCTCCCAAATCCATATGCGGAAGCCCTAATCCCTAGTGTGATAGCATCTGGAGGTAGGAGGGCCTTTAGGGCGGTAATGGGATCATGAAGGTGGAGCCCTCCTGATGATATTAGGACACAGCAAGAAGGCAGTCATCTACAGACCAGGAAGAGAGCCCTTGCCAGGAGCCAAACTGGCCGGCACCTCGGTCCTGGACTCGCCAGCCTCCCAACTGGGCGAAGTAAATGTCTATAGCTCAAGCCACCCAGCAGGTGGAGTTCAGTTACATCAGTGAGCAAGTCACTTCACCTCTCTGAGCAGCAATCTGCTCTCCTGAAAAATGTGGATGGTGACATTATGTCTCCTTCCTGCCTCCCACCCTCCCGCCCTTCCTTCCATCTCTGCCATGGGTACCCGGAGTCCCAAGCCAACAAGCAGAGGCAAGAGACCCAGAGGCGTCCAAAGCCCTAAACAGATTTATGTTTTATAAAGAACCCAGTACAGCTACCATCACATGGTTCCCCCAGGGTCACCGTGCTCTTGAGCAGATGACAAACTGCCCTGGGCCACTGGAGATCAGTTAGGGGACAGTGACACCAGCACTGCAAAAGACTGGGCTTTGGGTTAATAATACTTTCCTAATTACGAATAAGTCAATGAGCGTGACTTAGGGAGGGGGAGGGGAAGCCAGCCCCAGCCCCACGACTGCGTGTCCAACCCCTAGCACGGTTTGGCATATTGTGGGCACTCGAGAAACGTTTGCTGAATGGAACAGACAGGGGGCCCAGACAGAGCATCCGCACTTAAGGATTAGGGACTTCTCGACGTCCAGACGCATGTCTGGGCTTGAGGCTAGCGGGTCTAATTCGGCTCTGCATCCGTGAACATTTGTTTCCCATGAATCCTTCACCCGAGCAAGGAAGACTCACATTGTAGGTCATGTGGGCCTCGCTCTAGAACCCGGATGATGCTTGGAAGCATCAAAATTCCATAATCTGTGACACACACATACACACACACACACACACACACACACACACAAAGTATCATGTGTCCCGGCTCCAGAGCGGGAATCAGCCCGTTTCAATGGGAGCCAAGGACCCTCCCAGGGCTGGGTGCCCTCACCCTGGGTCCAAGGGACTCAGGAGACAGCTGCCTCCTGCCTGGGCCCCCTCAGCTAAGATCTGATTTTCTCATCATCTGGATAGTCTCAGCGACTCGCAGCAAAGGGATGAACCAGGCTGACCTTTCTGGAGGTTTGTTTAAAGCAGAACAATGTTTGTCTTGTCCAAACACTATGAATTACTCCAGAGAATCCTGCCCAGTTTTACAATTCACAGCTACAAACAGCTTACATAAATAGGGACCCATCCCCTCCTCTCCCCCCGCCCCGTTTTTAACGGCTTCTCCTCCCCCCCTCCACTCTTCAGGCCTTCCCCCTGCCCCCCTCACACTTTCTCTCCTCTGAGCCCCAGCCTGGTGAAGGGGCAGGTGTCAGGTACTCTGGACCACAGGTCACACCTGCATTATTGCTGGCACGGATCCCCTATGGCGGGTGGGCTGCTCCGTCCCTGGTGTGGGCAGGGGTTTGCCTTGCTAAGCGGGGCGGGAGGGGGGGTTGGGGGGGCGAGGGGGGCTCTGGGCACATTTGTACTGTGGGTGGGGGGCCTGTGGTGCACAGTGTTAGATCCAGCTGTGAAAGCGTGTTGGTAAGAAAAGGCCCCTGGGTTTGGGGGGTTCAACATCTAGCCCATTTAGACCATCCTCATCTGGCAGGGTGTTCAGCTCACCCACAGCTTTTCCTTCTCAGGCTGCACATTGGGGGGGGGGAATCCCCTGGTATCTCCTAGAAGTAGACCCCCCCCCACTTCAGGCCTCCCATGGGGTAGGAGACAACAGATGCTGATCAAATATGAAGCGCAGAAAGTGAGCAGGGGCATGGTCTTGGGAAAGGAGGGTCAGCTGGGGACAGAGCCCAGTTTCCTAAATTATCTCCCTAAATATAGTCCTTACACCACCTGCACCCAAATGCTTTGGGAAGCTTGTTTAAAATGCAGATTTCTGGGCCCCTCCCCAGGCCGAGGGAAGCTCTCTCTGGGGGTAGGGCCCCGGGCTGATGCCAGAGTCTGAGAAATCCTCTCTAGCTCAAGTCCTCTGACTAAACTCGCTGGATGACCCCAGCAGGCCACTCCAGGACTCACGATCACCACCTGCACGGCAGCCCCAGACTCTGAAAAGGCCCTTCCCGCTCTTAGATGGTGTGGTTTCAGGGACAGCTGGGTACTAGAACCCAGAAGCAGCAAGGGTGGGTGGAAGCAGCCTGAGACAAATTTTGGGGAGTCATTGAAGCTCCTGGGAGAGGTGTTGGTGAAGATTTGGACAGATGCCAGGGGAGTGTGAGGCCGGATTGGTGGCTGGGGGTGTGAGTGGTGTGTGGGATCCTTCTACCGTGGGTCCCCACTGGGAGCCAAATACGATTTCATCTTTGCTTTGCAGACAGGGAAACTGAGTCACAGAAGGGCGGAGTGACTTCCACCCTGCAGCTGGTGAATGAAGAGGCATGGGATGCCCTCGCCTATACACCCTGGGACACCCATCTGGCAATCCCAGAAAGACCCCTTCTCCCCCAGCTGTTTCCCTTGTCGTTCTAGCCTCTAAGAGGTTGGCTCTTAGGGCCACAGCTCCTTCTAGCTCCTTCTCTTCCTTTGATGGGAGGGTCCCACTGGGCAGAAGGGCCCAGAGCTAAATCTGCCCCTTGAGGCGGACGCACAGTGAGCCAACAGCAGGAAAATCAAGTGCCCGGCGCTTCACCCTGCAGAGAGCCAAGCCAGCCCCGCCCACCCGGAGACCCCACAGCCGGGCTGGGGGCGCAGTCAGCACTCGGTCCGCCGGGTCAGGGCTGCGGCTGAAGCTCACGATCCCGCTCGGCCGGAGGGAGGGCACAAAGGCGCCGCCAGGGAAAGGCCCCTGACTTTCAGAGCTCGAAGACCGCTTGTGCCCAACACCCGCGGCGACCTCGGGTCGAGAGGAGGTCAGAGGATCAAGCCACTGGAACTCAGCGCGTGCACCGAGGCAGCCCCTAGGGTCCGAGCAGGAGTGGCCAGCTGGAGGCCGCGGAGGGCACGGTGTCCCCTCTCCAGGTCCCCGGGGAGACGGAGCTGATACCGCCGGGAACCCAGAATCCAGCGCCTGGGGAGGGTCGGGATTCCAGGAGAGCGGGCCCTGTTTCTACGATCTACGTATGTTTGCGCATTGGATTCCATTGACAATTCGGGAGATCCAGAAGCTTGCTGCGTGACCTCGGGCACGCAACGCACCGCTCGGGGCCGCCGGCCCTCCTCTTTTGCGAACCGCGGGGTTCGGGACGGATGCTCCCCAAGCCCCAGCTCCAAAGTCCGCGCCTTGAATTAGCGGCGCCTCTTTCTAGTTTAGCATTTGATTTTCTAATCAAGCTCTTTGTCCCCTGCGGCCTTAACCCGAGCCCCCAGCTTCCCCGTCTCCCTCGACCCCCGCCTGGGTCTCGCCCTCGCCCGACTTTCCCGTCGAAGGGCCTCGAGTGAGTGATTCCCGGGAGCCGAGGCCGAGGCCGGCGGGTCCGCGGCGCGGGCCGGGGCTGTATGGAAATGGCCAGAGAAGCCGGCGGGCGCGGCGGCGATTTATTCTGGGAGTGACAGCCCCTTTGAGCGCTCAGCGAATGGCATTTTCTGTCTGTGAAAGCCTTTCTTCCCACCTCTGTTCAGATTAGCCCGGGAGATGAATGCGCCCATTATCCAGCCCGCTGACCATTCTGAAACGCCAAATTAATTACTAAGCACTGAATCAGGCGCCGGGGCCGGGGCACCGGGAGGTGTGAAAATAGCGAGCGGCTGGAGCTGGGGAAGAGGCGAGGGGCGCAGCGCCGAGAGGCCGGGCGGGGTGGCCCGGGGCGCGGGCGCGGCGGGGCCCGGGCGGGCTTGGCCAGCGGCCGAGCGCGACCTGCCGGCGTGACCCGGCGCGACCGCGGGGCGAGCGGGCTGCGGGGACCCGGCGGGCGGGAAGGCGCGGGGCGGGGGTGGCGGC